CAATTTCAAGGACAAAAGGACACTTTCCTTATTTGTGTTAATTTCAAAAATACTTCTGCTCTTTTTATTTTATTGGCAACTATCAATCCTAAACTCTAGTAACCATTAAAGGAGAATAAAATTTCAAGGACAAAACTCGGAAGGAAAAAAATGCTTTTGCCTTTTTTCTTTTTTTTTTTTTATTGTCAATTATCAATCCTAACCTTTTAATAACCTTTAAAGGAAAGACAATTTCAAGGACAAAAGGACACTTTCCTTATTTGTGTTAATTTCAAAAATACTTCTGCTCTTTTTATTTTATTGGCAACTATCAATCCTAAACTTTAGTAACCATTAAAGGAAAATAAAATTTCAAGGACAAAACTCGGAAGGAAAAAAATATATTGAAGATTAGTAAAGTGTTCTCAAAATAAAGGGAAACTACAAAATTGACACAACCCAATAACATTTTAGAGAGAGATGCAAAAAAGCATATCCAACTTTTATGATCTTTAGATTCTGACAAAAGTATTTTATATTACTAATTGTTAAAATAATGAAAAAGAATAAGGAAACTCAATTTAAATATAATAAAATTTGACATTTCAATAATGTACTGTAGTAGAAGTGTTGTGGGACAACAATCTGAGGTATAATATTGAAGTTGACAAAAAAGACTAAATATTAAATTTAGCCCAGGATTCAATTCTGTGTACATTTTGAGTGTTGTGATAATATTACATATTATATTTAAATATGTTTTTTATAGTTGGGCAAAAAACAAGACAATTACAAAAAATTCAAGAGCTGAATAGTCAAAATATCTATTCTCTAGAAGCAAATATTTAGTGCTTTAACTTCTAAATTTTTAGAAGTGGAAGCTGAAGAGGAAGCTTCATCTTTTAAAAATTGTCTTCCGTTCCCACTTCAATTTTTTGTAATAAAGAGGTTCTTTTCCAAAGTTACATTAAACATGATACTTACATTTCTTTTATTTCATTGAATACTTAATTTTTTTTATTATAAATTATTAATATGGTGTGATTGCAAGAATGGATGGTAGCATAGTTACTAAAAGAATTTATTTCAATATTAATAAAAGTTAATTTCTTATAAATTGTCCAATTTGACCATAAATAACTTGATTAGTTTATTTCTCTAAAAAGTTTTATTCTTTTTAAAACTCTATTTATAATATTGGATATATTCATTTATACAGTAACACATTATGATAATAAATTTACAATTATATGTGATATT